ACACCTGCCAACTAGGAAACCTTTACTTTCACTTTGTTCTTTTTACCTGTCTGGAATTGAAAGACTTTTCAAGTCAGTTCACTTTGGACTGAAACTTACTCACAGAGTCCTTTCTTATTTTGAAGGTATCAAAAAGACTTACAACCTGTCCTTTCAAGAAAGTCAGCCTTTGCAAGTGCTTTTTGAAAAGAAGAGATGCCCTAATGTACTGACAGTTCGACCAAGGTACTGCTGACTCCTCTGCTTTCTTTTTCTGAATGTTGTGTGACCACAGACTCTCTCCACTTACTATTAAGTTAAAATCTGACTTTCAGGAATCACCTTACAGGGTCAGGGAGGACATTTTGAGAAAAGCACATAGCAGATAATAATAGCCCAATGCTATCAATAATGACCCAGCAGCCAAGGTGGTTCTACAAACGTCCCCTCAGTGACTTTCTCCGTTGTTAGGCCACAGTGAAGGAGAAAAATACCTAATGTCAATAATATTCTGTGTTTGCATGGTGCCTTCTGTCCGAGCCCACAAAGCACAGGGCGTCTTAACGTTTCTGATGCGAGAGCTGTTTTCCGTCTTGGTTTTGTTGTCTTAGAGTGAGACCTGATTGTCATTTTTTTCAGTTAAGCCTTTCCCCCCCACCCCCTCCAGTTAAGCCTTAAACATTACAAGGAGCCCTGGGCTGGGTAAGTGTCGAGTTGGCAGTTCAAACCCAGCAGCCACTGTTCGTTTTTGTGGAGTAGAGACAGGGCTCTTTTCTCTTGGATTCGCAGAGCCTTGGCCCAGAGCCTGGCCTAGCACAGATTCTAAATACATATTAAATGATTCATTCTGGCCCTTTTCCCTCAAGAAGGAATTGAAACCCACAGAGATCAAGTGCCTGACTTGTCGTCAAAGAGTTAGTTCATAGCAGAGATGGGACCAGGCCTAAAGCGGCCTCCTCCTATATTTTGTATCTTGCCTGCTGTCAAGATCCTTGTTGATAACCATAGCTTCTCTGGGGTCTCAGAAGAATGCACTGAGACCAGAGACCAGGCTGTCTTCCAGAATCTCAGGAAGCAGGATTCGCCTCATGGTGAGGCCAAGTCCAACTCGGAGAAGTAAGCTCACACAAGGGCTTTCCCTCACTCACACACTCTACGTCATTCTCTCCCACCGAAGCCAATCCTGTCACAAAAGCCTGTGCAACTACAGGAAGAAGGGCTAAGGACATAGGTGTAATTGTCTTGATTTAAAGATGTTTGTCTTGAAGGGTCTTAATGACCTCTTTTTCTGAGCTTTTGGCATCTTGTACCAAAAATGTTCCTCTTAATATTGGGAACGGTCCCAGACAAGTTTGGTAGGTGTTGTTAACATTTTGGCACCAAGAAGGACTGCTAGGCTAATGTCTAGCACCAAGTTAATACAAAGTTAACATCTGACAGCAGATTCTAGGTTAGATAACAGCACCTTCTTTCTCAAGGAGCCCAGAACTCAGGCACCAACAGAAAATAACTCAACTGAAAATGTTGGAAGGGTTTGAATAGACTTCTCCAGAGATGATATCAAGAACAAGCAAGAAGCTTATGAAAAGATGCTCAACATCATATATCATTAAACCAATCTGCTTGCTATCATTCCAGTCGGATTTCCACTTATAGCAGCCCTATAGGACAGAGCAAAACGCCCCCTCCCCCGGGGTTTCCCAAGGCTGTCACCTCTATGGAAACAGACCACAGCTTTCTCTCAGTTACTGGTAGCTTTGAACTGCCGACCGATTGGTTCATAGCGAAGCACTTGAACCACAGTGCAAATCAAACCACTGAAGAAGTTTCGTTTGGGATGTGAAGAGAACCGTTACAATAATAGTCAAGGAGAAGGCAAGGAGGAAAACAATATAGGCAGCTGACCACTGCCTACCCTCCACCCTTAAACTGGTTCTCAATGTAGTTCTCTCCAGCTGCGTTTGACCAGCTCTTCTCTCTGTGAAGTATGGTGCCAGGCCAAGTCTACCTGGCATACACAAGCGAAGAATTTCACGTCTTCTTCTGGTGTTTTGGCCATCCTGCTGCAGCTCTCCCACCTCTTTAATTTAAAGTGAGCATTTACGTTGCTGCTCTCTTGGCCTCCGAATGCTGCTCCCTAGGCAGTCTACAGATATAATAGCCCACAGACAATACAGGACAGGCAAAATGTTCTCTACCCAGGCCAGCTGACCTATTCCTTTCCTGCTGAAAGATTGGAGTCCCAGTTGGTTTTTTTGTTTTGTTTGGTTTTCCCAAAAATCATTTTATTAGGTACTATTACAGCTACCATACCATTCCGTCATTCAATCACACCAAACAGTATCAAACAATTGTTACCGCAATCAATTTCAAAACATTTTCTTGTCTTTGCTTTTTATTTTTCTTCTTTCTTGAACTCCTTGAGATCAGCCTCCCTTTACCTGCCCTCCGCCACCGCGGAGACCCAGTGAAAGGGTTTTCTCCTCCTTTCTGTGGCTTGCTTGCCACCGAGCTAACAGTGTCTCTGACCTTCCGTAGACTGCTTGCTGAAGCTGTTGTTCTCTTCACGTCTCCTCAAGAGGAGGTTACCCTGGCTGTTACTCCACGGACCGTTTGCCTAAGGAGTTCCAGTGAGGAACCGATGGGTAAGGAAGGTCTCTCTGTCGTGGTATGTGGATGGTTTATGACTTCTTGATCACTAATGCACAACAAGTAGTGACGGCCTGGAATTTATTACTGTCTACAAAGCCAGTAAGGTGTAAAAAAGGAAATCAAAACAAATCCAGGAAGCCAAACCCATCAACAATGAAAATATTGGGCTTTGAAATTCAGGTTGATTTAAAATTAGAATGGTGGCTGAGGAAAACCTATTTTCAGTTAAGATGTTAAGATCTGTGTCTCATCTTTTGTCCCAACCCCACCCTTCCTTCATGTTTAGCATTAAAACACACACAAAAGTAAGAGGCTAGCAATCTAACTGATAGGATTGTTGACCACAGAAAAAAAAGGATTTAGAGATGTAAAAATTATTCCAGAGGGCAGAAAATCTGAATGCCCTCACATCAGCCCTCTCCTAACAGTTTATCTAGAAGAAATGGAAAATCTAACCCCAAACCAAACCTGTTGCCCTCAAGTTGATTCCAACTCAACAGTGACCCCGTAGGACAGAGTAGACCTGGCCCTTTGGATTTCCAAGTGTGTAAATCTTGACCAGAGCGAACAGCTTTATTTCTCCCTAAGGAACGCTGATGGGCTTCAGCTAGCAGCCCAGAGAGTAACTCCCAATGCCACTGGGGCTCCTTGGAAAAACTAAGGCACAAGTGAATCGGGAGTTTGGAGGCCAAGAAAACTTGTGAGGTCTTTTGGTACAAGCTGTTAGCCATTCCTTGAAGTGCCAGCAACACAGGGAGGATGTGAAGAAGTGGCAGTTGTATTTTCAAATGAGAAACCAGTAAACCCAGGGCTTCCGTTAGGTTAATGTTTGCTGTGCTTTGAACGTGTCAGGTACTGTTCAAAATGGTTACATTTTGAAATTTCTTTGCTCTTTGCCACCACCCCAATCCTACATATGGAGAAATAGAAGAACCAAGAAGCTAAGGGAACTGCCCACGGCACTCAGTTTGGAAGTGGTGGGTTAGGAATGGAGGACAGTGGTGTGGCTCTGGGTTCAAGTTGCAGACCAGTGTGCTTTTAGTGCTTCGGTCGGATCGCCAACGTTCTTTACCGGTCTTTAGGAGTGCTTGGCCTTCAGGAGCCCTGGTGGTATTGTGTTTGTGCGTTCAGCTGCGATCCGAAAGATCAGCAGTTAGAAACCACCAGTCTCTCTGAGTGAGGAAGATGGGGCTTTCTACTCTTGTGAACAGTTATTGCCCTGCCCTATAAAGCTTGCTAGGAGGCAGCATTGAGTAAGTGGCAGCGAGTTTGAATTTTGGGGAAAGGGTTGGAGTGATAACCGCAAGGTCAAAGCTTCAGACCCACCAGTCTCTCTAAGGGAGAAAGTTGAGGCAGGCTACCTGTGCCCATAAAGGTTTACAGCCTCTCAAATCCTGTGTAGATTCTCAGTGAGTCGGAACCAACTCAGTGGCAGGGGCTTTGGTGGTACAGTGTAAAAGTGCCCAACTGCTGACCAACGGTCAGTGGTTTGAACCTACCAATCACTCCCTAGAAGAAAGACGTGGCAGTCTGCCTTCCAAAAATTGGCCACCTTGGAAACCCAGTGGGGCAATCCTACTATGGGGTCACTGAGTCAGAATCCACTCAGGCAGTGGGTTTGATTTTGTGTCTGGAAAACATTATGCCTGACTAGCGAAAAGGTGTTTTCTTTTCCCTAATGAATAAAGATGGCCATCACTGAACAAAGATGGCCAATTAGTAACCAGGAGATACCGTTTCCCCGACAGTAAGACATCCCCCGAAAATAAGATCTACTTACAGTTTTGCCTCTTACTGAAATATAAGGCATCCCCCAGAAAATAAGACCTCCCCAAAAATAAGGCCCCCTGAAGCTACTGTAACTCTGGACTCTGGACCCTGGACCGTAGCAGCGGGTGCCACCCGCAGCTCACTGTTGGCCACAGCGCAGCTGGAGCAGACAGGAAGTGCAAGGTCTCTTTTAGTAAAACAATAAATAAATGTGTACCGTATTCTTCTTCATGGAAAAATAAGACATCCCCTGAAAATAAGACCTAGCGCATCTTTGGGAGCAAAAATTAATATAAGACACTGTCTTATTTTTGGGGAAACAGGGTAGTTGCTAGTGAGCAGCTTTCTAATGAGTAGTTACAGTGATGCTTGGCTGGGGAGTCCATGGTTTAATCTGCTATTGAATTGATGGTATGCTAACGCACTGGGAGTGGCATAGACCTTCTTGTTTAAGACCCATGATAGGGTATTGTTTGAATCTTTCAAAAAAAAAATAGCATTTACCTTTTGTTCTACTTGTGTAGTTCACATTCAACGCACAAAGTGTAAAATACAAAGAAACACTAATTTATGAAGCCACCTGAAATCCCACTATGGAGAGGTGATGTGAGTCTCCACCATGGCAATTGGTTATGCCTCACCCTGAGGACACACCAATGACTGGTTGGCTGGTGCTGACAGACAGACAGACATGTGAGACCAAAACAAAAGCTGCCTGAGTTGACAGGTTTGAAAGTAGTGTGTGATCTCCACTCCAGGCCCTACCTAGCGGTCACAGCTGCCCTCAAGGGGTTCTCCTTCCATGGGCGCCAAGAGCAGAATGGCTCTAATGGCTGTCTTTCTGGAAGACCTTCTTCTGAGATCTCTCTTGGGTGGATTTGAACCACCAACCTTTTGGTTAGCAGCTGAGTATTTAACCATTTGCACCACCCAGGAACTCACAAAAGAGGCCCTATCTTCTAGATATGGTCATCGTTCGATGCCCTTGTGTAACAAGATTGTATTAAAGATGCTGACAGTTTCTAGCTCAATCTAGGTATCACACACACATTGCTCGTGAGAATGTAAACATGAAGCAACTTCTATGGCAGTTTCTCTAAAGGTTGAACAGAGTTACCATCTGGCTCTAAAATTCCACTGAGAAGTATATTCCTGAGAAATGAAAACTTATCCATGAGTGTCCATATCTACATTCTCCTAAGAGCCACACAGTAGAAAGAACCAGGATATCCACCCACTGATAACAGAGAAATGAAAGGTGGTAATCTCCATCAAACCCACTGCCATCGAGGTAATAAACTGTGCATCTTCATGGAAGCAGATCGCCTTACCTTTTGAGTGGCTGATAGGCTTGAACTACTTACCTGATGGTAACAATCCAGCATTTACCCAACAGTGCCACTAGAACATTCGTTGTCAATAAAAAATGGGACACTTACACAACGTATATGTAAGAACCTTGAAAACATGCTCAGTGAAAGAAATCAGACCAAAAAGGTCATGGTTAAAATGGTGGATTTCACATTCTGTACATTTAAAAAAATCATTTTATTGGGGGCTCATACAACTCTTATCACAATCCATCCATCCATCCATTGTGTCAAGCCCATTTGTCCATTTGTTGCCATCCTCATTCTCAAACCATTTGCTTTCT